GATTTTGGGACTAGAGACCTCGTGCCCAGGGAGGAGGCCCAAGGAGGCAGGGGCCACAGTCCAGCCCCTAAGTCGGAAGAGTTGCCTCCCAGGTTGGTTTCCCCTGCAGAGCCAGAAAGCCAGGTCCCCGAGATTATGGCAACAAAATTATGACAATTGTTATTAATGGCATCCAGCGATAACATTGCCAGAATGCTTCACACACCAACTCCCCTAATTCAAATACCCCTGAGATCCCTGCCCCTGTCACCTCATCAGGAAGCCTCCTGGACTGCCCCATCACATCCTAGGGCTTCCTAGCTTCAACCTTAGGGTGTGTCGAGCCTCCTGAGGACTGGAACCAAATGAGGAAAACTCCCTTCTTCATCTCCAGCGCCCGGTATCTGGCACCCTGCCTGCTGCACTGTCAGGAGCTCGTGTTCACTGGGCACTTAGCAAGTGTCAGGCTCTGTGCTGAGCATTTCCATTTCCTTTACTCTAAGCCACACACCACCCCGTCCAGGTCACTCCTTCTGCTGTCCTTACTTCATTGAGGAAGAAACGGAGGCAGAGAGGGGAAGTAGCTTGGGATCACACTGCTGATAAGTGCTTGGAGGCTGGATGTGAACTGGAGCTCGTGTTCACTGGGCACTTAGCAAGTGTCAGGCTCTGTGCTGAGCATTTCCATTTCCTTTACTCTAAGCCACACACCACCCCGTCCAGGTCACTCCTTCTGCTGTCCTTACTTCATTGAGGAAGAAACGGAGGCAGAGAGGGGAAGTAGCTTGGGATCACACTGCTGATAAGTGCTTGGAGGCTGGATGTGAACTCAGACAGTGTATAAGTGCTTGGAGGCTGGATTTGAACCCAGTGTTGTTCAAGAGACACTTTGAACCACCACAGCTTCAACACAATAATTCATTAAAATAGTAGGCATTGTTGAGATTTTGAATTTGAGGAGCCAGCAGATGGCATAGTGGTTAGTTACATCGCTGGACTCCCTCATGGTCAGCTGCGGTTCAAGTTCCAGACATGGTGGCTTGAAACTTACACCAGGAGCATGTGCATGGGTACCCAAAACCCAAAGAAGAGAATGGTGGAGAGGGGACTGTGGCATGGCCATCCTCTCTCTCTGGCGAGTGTGCACTACCTAGAGCAAAATTCTCTCTTAAAAAAAATAGTAAGGGACCAGCAGTTGGTGTAACGACTATGTCACTTGACTCTCATGTAGTCCACTGCGGTTTGAGTCCCAGACTCGGTGGCTTATACTCACACCGGGTCCATGTATGTGCATGTGTGCCCAAGATCCCAAGAGGAAAATGGAGAAGAAGGGATTGTGGCGTGACCATCCCCCCAGGGGATGATTTCTCGTTTTCTGTCTCTCTCTTTCTGGCGAGCACACGTGCCCTATAGCAAAAACCTCTCAAAATAATAATAAGATTTGCAGATACAAGTGCTCAGGCTCAGAGATGAAGTGACTCCCCAAAGGTCATAATCATTGTATTTAGGGTACGGGACCTGAAACCTGGGACCTGAGGCCTGGGGGAGAAGGACAGGCTAGAGACCCGGCCAGCCCCTGTCATGTGTCATAGGAAGGGAGAGAGGGCAACTAAAAGAAACTGTGTCAGGACCAGCAGTTAGCATAATGGCTATGTCACTGGACTCCCACGTAGTCGACCGCAGTTTGCGTCCCAGACCCAGTGGCTTAAAACTCACGCCAGGCGCGTGTGCATGCATGCCCAAGATCCCGAGAGGAGAACGGAGGAGAAGGGATTGCGGTGTGGCCATCCCCCCTGGGGGGTGATTTCTTGCTTTCTGTCTCTCTGTCTCTCTCTGTCTGTCTGGCAAGCACATGCGCCCTTTAGCAAAACCCTCTTATAAGAAAGAAAGAAAGAAAGAAAGAAAGAAAGAAAGAAAGAAAGAAAGAAAGAAAGAAAGAAAGAAAGAAAGAAAGAAAGAAAGAAAGAAAGAAAGAAACTGCGTAGTGCCAGCAGGTGCTGTGGTGGCTAAGGCACTGGACCTCACGTGGCCAACTGCACAGTTCAAGTCCCAGACCCAACGGGTTGAAACTCACACCAAGGATCTGCATGAGCATACATGCCCCAAATCCCAAGAAGAGAATGGAGGACAAGGAATTGCAGTGTGGTCATCTGGCCCGGGAGATGATGTCTGTCTCTCTCTCTCTCTCTGCCAAGGGCATGCACCCTATAGGAAAAAAACTAAAAAGGAAAGAAACCATATATCAGATAGGGAGACATAGTGCTTGGATATGGAAGGTGCTTGGAGAGGAAGGTTTTGTCACCCCTTCTCTTCCCATTCCTGCCACTCAGTTTCTTCATCTTTAAAACAGGGACAATCTGGGCCAGCAGGTGGCATGGTGGTTAAGGTGCTGGACTCCCGAATGGCCGACATGGTTTGAGTCCCAGACCTGGCAGTTTGCTTTCTCATTTTCTCTCTCTCTCTTTTCTTTCTCTCCCTCTCTCATGAGCACATGCCCTATGAAAAATAATGGTAATAAATACAATTAAATAATTCTTAAAAGGGGGGCAATCATTAAGCCCATGGATTGAACCCATTAAACCAGTCAGCGGTTGATATTCGAGTCCCCTGAAGGGGCAAAGGTGTTCTGAATTGTAAGGAGGGAGCGGATGTCAGCAGCTGTGGGCTGAACTGTCTGCTGGATTCCAGCTAGCTTCAGCTGGGCCATTGAAGCCTTGAGTAAGCAGATACCGAGTGCCCAGTATCTCCAGAGAAGGGGGGATGGCCCGTCTGGGTGATGAAGAGGCCAGTGCTCACAGCTCAGCATGGGGAGCTCTTAGGGCTGGGGTAGGAAAGCCAAGGCTATGGGGGAGACAGGCTGGGCACTGGAGAAGGGGGCAGGAGCTGGACTCAGACCCAAATCAGCTGTTGCCAGGACCAAGCCTGCCGGCCCTTCCTCTCCTCACATGCAGTATCCCCCCACGCACACCCATAGACCGCCGAGAGCAGAATGGGCGTTTAGCTCTTTCTCAGAGCCCGCAGCTAACCCTCAGTAAATCTTACTGAGTGGGTCTTATTGAACATGGCACCTTCCCTTCCTTATTAGCAATTTTTTCCCCACATCTTTATCATGTGAGGGTTTACCCCCTCCTTTTGACAAAGAGGGATGGAGACCTCTTTGCAGCTTCTTTCAAATCACACCTCACAACAGCGGAAGGCAGAGAGGAAAACGCCAGGTCCCAGGGCCACAGCCCCGTCCTGCAGCCCACAGTTCTCTGGGGAGCTGGGCCCAGTGTCCTCACCTCTCCACTCCCCCCACCCTCTCACACCCTGCCCTGGCCCCAGTGGACACCTGATGCTCCCGGAAAGGTGCACCTCACCGAGTCCCCCCTCCTGGCCCCTAGACCTGGCACTCCAGGCCCCAGATCCAGTTACAGCCCCCCACCCCCACTCTT